GCATATACAAAATACAAATACAAATACATATATATATATATATATATATATAATATATATATATAAGCATATACAAATAAATTTGAAGTCTACATCAGTGCTGTGACCACTACGATATAAATGAGAGGAAGCGTAAGTGTCATTATTCACGGAATATTTGGTGAAAGCAATTGGTGTCATTGACATTTCATTGCTTCAATAATATTAATAGTTTGTGCACTTATATAGTTGGTCGTAGTACGAGTCTACCTACCTGATTTTCGGCCATCAGTGCGATCTCTGTGTTGGGGTCACCGAGAATCTCGAATAGGCCGTCCAGAAAATCATGCAGGAAATCCAGAAGCTCTATATCCGGTACATTGTCCTATTACAGAAAAAGAGACAGGCAGACGATATGACGATATGTATTCCGTTTGCGTGCTCTATATCTTGTTACATTGTCCTTTTACAGAAAAAGGGACAGGCAGACGATATGACGATATGTATTGCGTTTGTGTGCTCTATATCTGTTACATGGTCCTAATACAGAAAAAGGGACAGGCATAAAATATGTATTCCGTTTGAGTGCTCTATGTCTGGTACATTGTCCTATTACAAGAAAAAGCGAGAGGCAGACAAAACGTATCTCATTGGTGTAGAGCGCAATACAATTCGTACCGCAACTCAGTGCAAACAATTAACGTATGAACGGCACTTGTCACGTCTCTGTGGTCTGTGACTCTCTAACTACACCCGCCACAGCAGCACCACACCTTACACTGGCCTATGGCACTCACGCATCCTACACACCTTACTGCATCACACATCACCCATGATGCCTTTCAGTGAACAATCACCGGACCTCCTATAGAAACAGGAACAGCCTATCACGTAGGTTTCCTAGAACCCTAAACTCTAGACCCTAAACCCTATTCACACCAGCCCTTCCTAATTAAGGTTTGAGGGTTCAGCCCCTCTCACCCTATCTCTCTCTCCTTGTCCTAACATACCAGCGCTTGTATCCAGGAGACGATGAACTGTCGCGCACACGGGTTAACCACGTACACGCGCTCTTTCAGCAACGGAATGAAGGCTCGCACATCAAAGGCCGTGGTCTCCAGCACTATGTCTTTGACCAGACGGTCCAATAGATCCGCTCCGTTGCGTACGTTAGCGTCCGAATCTGCGCTGAGCTATTTATAGAACAGCCGGGGCATGCGTGCGGTAGGAATCAAGAGGTCTTAGATCTGTTATGGTGGTGGCAAGTGTGTGCATCTGGCAAGCCATAGTCAGATCTGGGCAGCATATATATATATATACATAATATATATATATATATATATATATATAATAAACGTAAATGTAGATGCTGTACCTTTGTCGTACGCCTAGAGGTCTAGATGGAACGTAACTGTGTATCCGACAATGAACCACAGACCAGAACACATGCATCTCAGTCAGTTATATGTATGTGGCAGTGCGCAGGTAGGCCAATCAGGTACACAACACATCACGCAGGTATATACCTGTACAAACACAACCTACGCTACACCTACGCTACACCTACCTTGCACAGTTTGTCGAAGGTCTCATTAAAAAACGGGAGAATCCCGCCACGCCCAACTTTGGCCACGTTGTATAGGGCTTCACAGGCGTAATATCGCACACTGGGGAAGCAAATACAATCGGTTATTAACGTATGCTATATGAAATCTGGCTGACTTACGCTTGGGTGAGGCGTATACATACACAAAGATATGTAGTGTATATGAATAGATAAAGGACGCAGTTTGGGTATCGGATAGAGCCGAACCGTATTGAATTGTATGTTTTCATATACATATGAATATCGGTGGTGACGCGAGTGTAGAAATATATGGAATCACAAGCACAATCACTTTGTACACAATTGGCATCGCCTGTAGTTTTCTATAGAAGATGTAATTATTATAGACATATACATCCACACCCTTACTGCTACATACTACCCGTGCAGCTGAATTTCAAACACCATTGACTATTTAAAAGCAAGTGTGTATGTAAAGACACTCACCTTTCCAATCGCAAAGAAATCTTTCCTCCACACCTCAAGACGTACCAATGGGGTGCATATATGTGCACATGCACATGTACATAGCCCGTAGATTGCAAACGTTGAAGGGAAGTACAGCACATTACCAATTCCGAATAGCAGGACGACCCTGTTAGACGATATCTGTAAACGTCACCGTCCAACATGCACGTCTAATCCACCCCAGAAACACACGAGTGCACGAACGGTACATACATTAACATACATACATACTTTGGTATCTCTGTAGACACCTCTAAGCCACCCTAGAAACACACAAGCACGAACGGTACATACATTAACATACATACATACTATAGTATGTCTGTAGACATGTTCACAACAACCGCACCCGCACTCACCGAGAATCCGGATCGCTCAGACACCCCATCATAGGAAGCATTAAGTCAGCAACATAGTCACTGATCTTCTCGTCCAAAGCAATGGCCACACCCGCCAGCCCAATTAACCCGCCCTTACGTGCGTTAAGATGTGCACCGTAGCAGAACTCCTATACACATGAACCAAGGAAGGTCACGTGATGAATGAAGCAGATGGATGTATGTAAGCCTTTGCTTGTGGTCATGATAGAGAGGTACTTGGACCGTATATTGTATGGAGATAGATTGTTGCCACAGACATAACCTGACAAGATTCAATAGGCGAAAGAGAAAGAGCATCGTACAGTGGTTCTAGCACTCTAAAAAAATACACATATAATTATCAACATATATATACACACACACACGCACACACATATATATATATGTTTATATATATAT